TGTTGTGTGTGTTGTGTGTGTTGTGTGTGTTGTGTGTGTGTGTTGTGTGTTTTGTGTGTTGTGTGTTGTGCGTTGTGCGTTGTGCGTTTTGCGTTGTGCATTGTGCGTTGTGCGTTGTGCATTGTGCGTTGTGTGTTGGTGTTGTTGTTGTTGTTGTTGTTGTCGTCGTTGTTGTTGCTGTTGCTGTTGGTGTTGTTGTTGTTGGTGTTGGTGTTACCCCTGCAGCGTTTTTGCTCGGTTCCGTAGTGGCCGAAAATCGTCAAATCGGTGGTGTTTTCGCATGTTTTTGCAACTCTCGGAGCAAAAAACACCGTAAATACCAATGTTTTTGGCGGGTCGGAAGCCCAAAACCACGGTATTTACGATGTTTTTTGCCTCTGGTAGTAAAAAGCACGGTATTTACAGTGTTTTTTTGGCCAGCACCTAGCAAAAACACTGGTATTTACGGAGGTTTCACCATGTAGCAAAATGTGGTTTCTTGATCCGAAAAGAACAAAAATACTGTAAATTACAATGTTTTGAATCTGCTCTTAGGGTGCGTGGGAGGTGTGGAAGGGGGGGGGGGTTACTAAAATGACTAGCAATCTCCTGAAGAATCAGGTAACGGGGCTGGCCGCCCTCCCCTTTACTTCGTAAAGTAAAACTCAAGGTAGCCCCTCTGGAGCTACCTTTCGTGAAGAGCAGCAAGGCAAACCTTTGTGGGGAAGAAATTTTACTTTTGTTTCCTGGATATGTCATCAGTGACGCCAATGGCCAATATCTCGACAAAGACCTTGCGTATGCAGGGATGCGCACTGAAATCGATTCCATGACCAGTCAGAAGGTTGGCAGACCAATCCATGAGCAGGAAGCCCAGCGTCTTGCCAAGCAATGGCAGATTAGTATAATCACTTGCCGATGGGTTTGTGTTGAGAAAGATCCCTTGAATGTTCGCATGCGACTAGTTGCACGGGAAATGGCAAAAGGAAAGAGTTCTGCCCGTGACCTCATGGTTTCTTCGCCTACTTCCAGCATTGAATCTTTGAGAATCCTCATTGCAGAAGCAGCAGTCCTGGACCTGGTGATTCTAGGCCTGGACATCAGTGCTGCATTCATGGCTTCTCCTCTAGGCCGGCGTCCTGGCAAACCCATCAAAGTCATTCTGAAGATGCCACCAAATACTATGCAGTTTCCAGATGGTAGCCCGATATTCCTCGAAGCATTCAAGGCCATAAATGGCTTGAGAACAAGCGGTTTGGCTTGGGTAGAACACTTAAGCCACTTGATGCAAGAGTTAGGAATCAAACCGTCTTTGATTGAAACAACTGTTTTTTCTGGAGAGGTTTCAGTCAAAGGGCATGGAAAGGCATGGGTGCAAGTAGTTGCATACGTTGATGATCTGCTCGTGTTTGCCCCGAGTAAGGTATTTGCAGTTGCCGTTCAAGACCATTTGGCCCTACACCTAAAAGTAAAACGCACGGGGCTTATAGAGCGAAGTTTTGAAGGGGGTGGCAGTTTGCGTTTTCTTGGCCGCAACATCGAAAGAAAATCCAACAGCAAAGAGATTACCATCAGTCTGGATGAAAACTATTTAGATGGTATGTTTGAGGCCTACAGCATCAGCACTGCCAGTACAAATCCTCCAGATCTTCGACCGGTACTTGAAGACAGTTCCAAGTCTGATGAATTATCCCCAGATGCGGCCATGCGGTACAGAGCAGCCTTAGGCAACTGTCCTGGATGTCCCAAACATATGTTTTCATCAATGTATACATAGCTTTGCTAGCCACAGGCATGGCCACACCGCAAGATCGCCATGAAAAGGCTTTGAGATCAGTGTTGAAATTCATGAAAAGCCAAAGAGGCATTTACCAGAGATTCCCATCTCCCGAAGCAACCATCGAGGAACAAGAAGCGCAACGCTTGGTAATCTACTGTGATGCCAGCTGGGCCCCAATGCGCTTTCTCAAGCCTAGATCAATTTCTGGCGCGTGTGTTTTTTATCGCGGGTCCATCATCAAAGCTTTCACAAGATTGCAACAAGTGGTCGCACTTTCAAGTTGCGAGTCAGAACTGTCAGCATTAGCTGAATCCTTTCAAGAGAGCATGGGAATCAAGCGTATCCCTGAGCATCTTTTTCTAGAAACTCACGCGCATGTGACCAACATCCATGAAAGTTTTCAAGCTTCAGATCGAATACACAGTCTTGCAAACTCCCTGATTTTTGGATTAGTTGATGAAGACCTTGAACATGCCACAGCCATTGAGGTGGAAGTCCGTTGTGATTCCCAAGCAGCCATCCGAGTCCTGACCTCACCAGGGCTCCAAAGACGCAGTCGCCATGTTGAGTTGAGAATTTGTTTCTGCCAAGAGATGGTCCGAAGAAGAACCATCATTCTCACATGGGTCGAGGGTTCACAGCAAATTGCAGATATTTTGACCAAGTGTTTAGGAATAAAGCTGTTTTTGAAATTCAGGACATCAATGGGATTCATTGAATCAGCAGAACTTCCAGCCAAACTGGCAGACCAACAATCTGAATCCCAAACAAAGCGGACAGCCAAAAAGAAGAAAGGAAAGACGAATCAAATCCAAAGCATTTTGTATGGGGGTAGGCCGGAGTCAGTGAATGTTCAGTCTTTGGAGTCGAACTCCCAAGATGAAGAGCACGTGCTTGCTTCCACAGTCTTTGTGCCAGACGCTCAGAAATCAGATCCATCACAGTTTGCTTCACAACCATTGAGCTTGATCTTAGAAACACAAGAAGCCAATTTACCGGAATTGTCGCCTAGTAAGTTTTCAGGGATCTTCTTGGAAATATGTTGCGGTGTGAACAGCAATTTAACCGAGTCGATTCAAGCCAGTTTTTGTGGAGACATTCAAATGGCAGTCGTCCGAGTTTCCACAAGGGCAGATTTAACAATGTTTCATGCCCAGCTCAGTGATCTTGTGCAGCGATTTTCAAAGAAAGGTAAGCCTGTTTATGTGCATTTCTCCCTTCAGCCTTCAGGAAATTCAGACACGACTGAATATATCCCAGCAGATGCCGAGCCCACTGAATCAACGCAAGTTTCTGAGTTGGAACAAATTTTGAAACTGAGCCAAAGCCTCGCCGTTGCAGCAGATGAGTTCACTTTCGAGCTACCCAAGAGAAATAGGTATTGGAACAGTAAGTTCATGGCAGATTTCTTTGTGAAAGTAGGTCGCCATATCTATGCACAGTTTCCTCGGCTTTGCAGTTTTCCTGAAACAGATCCTAAGGTTGGAAAGATTTTCTTGTGGTTGGGAACCCATCCAAGTTTAGCCAGATCGTTGGCAAATCACACAGAGTGCAATTGTGAAAGTCACGTTGCATTCAATGCAGTCAATTGGGACAAAGTAAGCCATTATCCTGCTTCGATGTGTAGCATCATCGCTCAGGCCTATCGAGATGTTTACATTGGCAAGGACATGGCCAAGTCCACACTCCCAGCATACCGGTTTTTCGAGCCTGGCATGACAGAAATCCGATATTCCATGAAGAAACTGCTTGAGAACCCAGTTTGAACCGTCGTTGTTTTCTCCATTCTTTCCTGCCTGGGATAAGCTCCAAAAAAAAAAAAACAGAGATGCCAAGCTAGCTGCCAGAGCCCGATCAGGCCTGGACGTGCGATTTTCAGCGAGATGATGAGCCGATGGGCCATGCAATTGAGATTCAGCCAGCGAAAGGGGGTGCGAATGTCATACACCTCTTTCGATGCGTATTCATTGTTTGGTCGCTGGCGGACTCTCAACCAATCACTAATCACTTGCTGCAAGCTACGAGCAAATGTTGCCCCAACAAAACAAAAAAAACAAACTTGCTTTTAGCAAAGTCTTCAAGTCTATTTGACTTCACGTGATACTATATCAAATCATACCCACATGCGTGAGCAAAGCGACAGCCATTTAAGTATGACACTTGGATCTAGAGATTTGCTTTTTTTCAGCATGCCATCAATCCCTTTGAGCGCTCCTCCGAACACCTCAAAACTCTTTACAACCTCCTCCAAGACAGTAAGCTGAACTTGCTTGATGATGCTGTAAACTCATCCTATGCCATTCAGCTTGCATTGCCAGCTTGGAATAATTTTCTCCGAATTTTTCAAGTGATTTCAGAGATTTGTGAAAGTGTCTTTTGCTGCATAGCATGTGACACGTTTTGTGCGATTTGAGCAAGTCGTATGCAGTTTAGAGCTTGATTTCCAACTTTCCTGACAGCGCGTTCAGATTTCGAACGCGGAACAGTGATTTCAATCTTTGACAGAGCATTGAGATTTCGAACGCGGAATTCACACAGTGATTTCAATTTTGGAGAAACATTTAGACTTGCGAAAGAGGAATTTATAATCAGCTGCGGTACAGCTTATGAGTTTGAAGCTTCTCAGAAATCGTTTTGCGACGTTTCCACGGTTGAGACTTTTTTGAACATCCTGATGATCTCCTATTGTCTTGCGTTTCCTGGGTCCAAGCAATCTGTGAGATCGAAGTTTTTGAACCGCTTTTGATCACATTTCCAATTTGAGAGCCGTGCAAATTTGCAAGAGTTTTTTTCCGAACTAGAGTAAGCAGACATGACGTCTGAACCGAATGTGAGTTTGGAAACAATTAGAGAATTTGACCGCAACCAAGCTTTCAGCTCTCCCTGTTGCCACAGCATTGTGAACATGCTCAGCCGCATCGTGCTTCCTTTGATCAATGAGATCAGCATTCCGCCAACAACATGTTGGCTCAAGATTAGGAGGCGTAAATTCTGCTAGCACAGTGAGACAAAAAGGGCGTGAGTTGTCAAGCAGAGTTGTCCACATTCTCAGTTGCAATTATCTACTCTTCTGGGGTGATAATTCTCGCAGGTGGTGGTGGTGGTGGGGGTTGGGGTGGGGGTGTTTGAGGTGGTTGTGGTAATTGTGATAGCGGTATAGTTCACGATTTGTTGTCGCAGCCAGACAAGGACTTGACTGTTTGTTGGTGGCCAGGAGTGCGCTGGCTACAATGGCCCAGAGATGACTGCTCCTAGCATGGCTGACATGAACAAGGACCCCAGCCTTCCATCCTGGCACTTTGGGGATTGGTACAGTGCAAGGTATATGACAGTCCAAAACCGCGTTTTGAAGTCAGGACCCACTGGATTATATAGCATGTTTTTTCTCAACTGCTGATGCTCTGAAGCAGCCACATGAGATGCGAGCACGTTGAGGCTGCTGGGGACCAAATCATAGCTTAATGGCCCAAAATTAAAGTGAACACTTGCAAGAAAAAGTGCCAGAATTGTTTCAGCAGGGATCCGTGATCATCTACCATCGACGCGGCAAGGAGATCGAGGAGAAGGTGATCAAGCGCACCTTGGAGGACTTGACGTGAGTCAGTACTCACCATTGCTCGCCTGAGTGATATGAACTTCACAGCACCTCCCATGTTTTCCAAGTTTGAGACTCATCAAGCTGCCATATTAGTTCAAACATTTCTGCCAACATCAAGGCAATGCAGTTTAAAGATGTTTAAAGTGGCATTTCAGACTTGGTACCTTGCACGGTTCAAGGAAGGAGTAACCCAAGGACAGCATTACCGGAGGGATATTGCAGGTTGCAATCTGAGCTTTCCAGATATGTTGTGCAGGAGATCAAGCTTAAGAGCGGCAAACCTGTTCCTTGGCAAACGGCAGCTGACGTCGATGATATTGCGAGTTAGGACGGAACACTTCTCAGTTTATCTCCATCTACCATAGTATAATCAGCACAGACAAGGAGCCCAATATAAGCCAAGATCTTATGAAGAATAGTGGCGCTCAAACTGATGAACACCGGATGAGAGGTGGCAGTTGCATTGCCGAATTAGGCCTTACGGATTGATGTATTATATGCTCTGGCCATGTGTTTTTCGATATATTTAGCATATTGATGCTTCAGAAACCGTGGGTTTAACGCTTTACACTTAGCCTCTGGGATGAGGCCTTGACACTGTATGGCAGCCACACGTACCTCGGCAAGATGATCATGGGGCACAGCTGCATGAAGTATTTAAGTATGTACTAGACCCTCCAAGTGCCGTGAAAAATGAGGATAATACAACCAGTATTCTGGGAGGGTCTAAGTAGGTCCTGTGTATTCCAGTATTGAAGATAGACCGCCTTGGAAGATGTTTGGTGTCTCCAAATCTTTATCCAAGTGTTTCACTGTAGCTGAGCATCAAGGAGTGGAACTCTTGAGTTTCCCATATCTCCAAGAGCTAAGTAGATCCCAAGACTTTCTGGTGCTCAGTACGAATTTTCGGGAATGACCCACAATCAACGATCATCAATCATCCCAGCAACCCCCATTCCCTGCTAAGCACCAGCAAGGCATTTGCACATCAACCCCTCGGGCAAGTTCATCATCGGTGGCCCTCAGGGTGACGCAGGCCTCACAGGCCGCAAGCGCCTTGGCTCCGGTGAGAGCGCGGGTGCTGGTCATTTTTTCTCGTGATTGTGGCACGAATCTGTTTTTTGTTGGGGGTTATCCAATTGTCAGTCACCATACCAATATACAGTATTATATATATATATATATATCCATTTATTATCCTATATTATATTCTTAATCCCTGGGTCGATTCAAGGGAAAATACATCGGAATTTGTGCTATTACCGTCCTATTACCGTCCGAATTGTCAGTCCCAGGTCCCACCACCAGACCACCAAATGTGCACATATCCATTTAGATTGAATACATATAGACAGCATGCAAACTTCTCCAGTAAATAGGTCCTGTTTTTAGGTTGTATAGTTGACGTTTAATTGACATTTGATACTGTGAACATTGTACTTTGACCTTCAACCACCTGGTGATTCTGATAAATCATCAATCACCCAGCTGTTTTTCAGATCCAAGGAAAGTGTCGCCGGAAACCCTCATATTTGGGGTAAAAACAATGGTTTCCTTGTAGATTTTCCCTCAAACCATCCAAAACCAATCGATCCATTCATTGTTCCATTTGTTCATGATTTACAGTTTGATGCCCAAATATCTTTTGTTTAACCACAAATTCTGTGGATCCCTCCATTCGCCTGTGATTCACACGTTAGCAGCTACCTCAAACTCCTTGGTGCAGTTCCACGAATATGTGGTCATAGGACCATAGTCATAGGATGTCACAGGGAGTATATCCATGTTTATCCCAGCTTATGGGGGTTATTTCACTATGATTGTACTGTTATACCCATTCAAAAAAGACTCTTGACTACGAGTTGGATTATACCCCCCCAACTAGTTCTTTATATCTACCATAAGCTATGGGACGATGTTATACCCATGTTATAACCACTCCAACATGGCGGCGCCAAGGATCATCATCGACACCTACGGCGGCTGGGGAGCCCACGGTGGCGGCGCCTTCAGTGGCAAGGATCCCACCAAGGTGCCGACCGCCCCAAGGGGGGTTCGGCATTGGAACATCTTGGAACGATAGTTACCCTCTGGTTATGACTAACATAGCCATGGTATAGATGGCCCATAGAAATAGATGGTTTACCTATTAAAAATGATGATTTTCCATGGCTATGTTAAATAACCAGATGGTATATAAATGGTTGTCATTGTTTTATATTGGCTGTTTGCTTATGTGGGCTCCCCAGTTGTAAGTTGCTTTATAAACTAAACCCCATTAAGTAACTATAGTTCTGAGTACCACAAACCATCATAAACCGTAGTTATTGTAGTTTTAAACCAACTTAGCTATCTAGGGGGCCCCACATTGTAGGGATTTCATCAACAAAAAACGAGGCATGTCCACCTTGCAATATGGTGATTTAGCAAACAATGGTGATAGAACGAAATATTAATGGGATCATGAGTTTATAACTTTTGGTAATTAAATGTGGCTTGCTGGGAAATCCACTAAATGTGCATTTCAATGGGAGAATCGAAATAAATAGGTGATTTTTTCCAGCAAGCCATGTTTGATTAGCAGAGGGATGCAGAGGGTAACTATATATATAATAGATGTGTAAACAACTCATACACATACATATTCGGACAATATGAGGGTTTGCTGAGTCATTGGGGAACCCCAGAATATCCCAGAATGATCCTAAGTTGCTCATTTTTGTTGGGGAAACCAGTGGTGAGAAGGGGTACCCAAAGCTTTAAGAGCCCATCCTGTAGGTACCGAGTAGCAACGCGGGGTCATCAGAAAAGGCATATCAACCCTCTTCCAAGCTGCTGGCTGTGTACTCTTCCTTTGCTGAATTGTGAAGATATGGGAAGCATAATTCAGCATAATATGTAAAATCCTTTGCCGCTGACCTTTGAACAAGTCATGTTCAAAGACCAGTGAGGGTCGGCACAGGTACGGTCTCATTGTGGCACCATCTGAAGGTTCAATGCTTCGGCCAATGGTTCAGAGATGGCATGGGATTTGCACATTGTCACAGTTGCTGCAGGTGGATCGCTCCGCAGCATACATTTGCCGACAGATGGCCCGGGTCTGAGAGTGGACAGATCCTGTCAGTGCTGGAAGGTGGAAATCATGCAAACACTGCCGATGTTTGATTTATTCGGGCATTGTGTTCTGCCTGGTCATTACTCCTTTTCAAGCCTATAGTCTATAGATGTCTATAGTAACCATACGAGCCCATAGGTCGACCCAAACCCGTGGCCCGAGGCCAAGTCCGTGGTGTCTTCTGGTTTGGCAGCCAGGTGTTTGGTGCAGCCAGGCAGCAAGGAGCAGTGAGTTTGCGGCATGTGGATTTTCGGATTTTGCTCGCATTCTTCCTGCTGAGACCAGACGCCTTGTGGTGGAGCCGAGGCAGCTGTCCTATGCGATCGGCGTCGCCAAGCCCTTGTCTCTCTTCGTGGGGAGCCCTGGTGACACTGGTGACAGTGAGGGATTTGTGGACCGCGGAAATGGACATCCATTGAGACACACTTGGAAATGCATCCCAAACTTGCAAATAAGTTATTATAAGTTATTTATAATAACTAGATATAACTAGTACTTTACTGTAGTAACCATGTTTGAACCATTTTGAACCTATTTATAGAATATCCATGAATATCCATAAATATCCCAAGTTCACCTAGATATTGAGTTACAAAGCATTTCCCAGATATGATGCACATCTACGTATCAGAGTGTGAAGCCGGACCCGCCTTCCCAACGGAGGTAGAGGCTTATGGCAGCGAGAAGGGCCAGCTGACGGTGGATGACATCACCAACGTCTTGAAGAAACTCGGCGGAAAGATGTGGAACCCATACGCCCCCAAGTTTGCTTCGATGGGAAAAGTGATGACAACCAATGGATTTTGAAGTACCACATGTTCGGACAAGCGCATGTGGGAAGATGACGGGACACTACGTTGGACTCAAGTGGCCCATTGCACCATGTTTGCACCATGAAATGAATCTTGGAACCTCTAGACTGTAGGTGAACAGGGCCCCAAAAAGCAAACATATCAAAACATGATCCAACACATCAAGGATTGAGTTCGACTGCCGTCCCGGTGCCATCGCCGCGTCCCTGGCCCTTCGGGAACCAAAGTACCAGGAGACCTGTTGTGCCGTGCAGCGGCAGGGAGGCTTTGACAACGGATAACAGCACCCAAGGGCTGCTCCATTTGAAAGTTTGCTTCCCACCTAGTGTAACTATCTTGGATCGTGCATGATTAAAGAATGCAGCGATAGAGTTCATCGTGGTTTGATCTTATTGAATTCATTTGATCAATTTGCAGACTTTGCTCACATGATACCAGAAGCAAAGCACTCCCAAACCGTGCTGAGGAGACCGCGGCCTACTGCCACTTCGGCAGGGAAGCCGTGACCAAGATGCTCGGCGGCAGGGGATTTGGAACACATTTTCTTTACTTCATTGGATCTACATATTCTTCATTGGAACCGTTTGAGGTTGTATCAGGTCGGCCATGTTTGGGGTTCCGTGCTCCAATTTTCCCACCAATCTGGAAAGCGGGGCTCCATTTTCCAATAACCAAGAATCTACATGACTCGCTGACTTCAGTCTCACAAGATCAACGTAAATATGTAAATAATATTAGATAAGTGTAAAGTGTTTTTTTTATGTTTATGAATAAGTTCTTTGTAATTCGGAGCCCAAATAACCGCATTAAGAGTTGAACATAAGCTGAGTGTTTGAAGACTTCACCAGAGCGGATGTCAAGTCTCCCATTTGCCAGCCCCAAAGGGACGGCATCAAGTTCTTCGAATGGGAGAACGCCAAGGACTTGAAGAAGCCTCTTGGCCCAGCTGTTTTTGAAAGGTTTCCGATGTGCTTGGGGATCTCGGACATGATCCAAATGGGAACCGATTTTTGGGGCATGCGGCATAGGGCACAGGGAGTTCTCCCCAAGGTTTGGAGTAAATTCAGTGGTGGATTTCAATTAGTTTTGTCTCAGCAAAAATTTGTTGAACTCTTTGACCCTGCAAGGTATGCATCCATGAGCAGCGAACAGGCCAGGACATTTTGAGAAACTCTGCCTGCGTCGACCAAGATCCCAAAATCTTGAGAAACAGAGCACTAGATTGTAACATATTGTAACAACATGTAACAACACTAGAAAACGTAAGACAGCATAAGACAGTGAATGGACCTTGTCAGGTGGCTGCTGCCCTGAAGGGCAGCAACTACCTCACCAAGTGGGTGGACTAAACGCCAGGGCGACCAGGCTGAGATCTGCCGATGTTTGCCCACCCACCATGTCGTAGGGAGGTCTCCTGGGTTGTTTGCCCACGAAGTAGTGAGCCATTCAGATGGGGCATGACTGATGGATCGGAAAGTGCTTGTGTGAGCTTGTATGTGTCTCACTTGACCAACCCTCTCCAATGCGTGGATTCAGAGGTTTTGTAACAGTTGGATACAGTTGGTCCGTTTCTGTCTGCAGCTTCGAGGGGGGCACAGAGTCTCACAAGTTCCCAGGGTTTGCTTGTATTGCCTTGGAGGCCTTTGGCGCGTTTTGGCGCCACAAAGTTTCTCAGCTGATTTTGAGCAAGGACCGCTCTTCGATGCGTTGAAGTAGGTCTAGACGGCAAACTATTTAAGATGGAACTTATATGAACCTTATATATCCCTATATGAACTTACATGCACTTATAAATATTATATATACATGTATTGCTTCTCAGAGAAGCAACCAACATTTATCGGACCAAGACATGGGATTCGAAACATGGAACAGCAAAATCCTGCATTTGCTGCTGAGGTCTTGATTTCTGTCGGAAATCCTTATAAAAATGAACTTTGTCAGGCCTCGGATCCTGCAGTGAGCGACTGCCGCGACGGGGCATTTTCTCTATCGAATTTTGGATGGTTTTTCGTTTTCGAAAAAAAATATCAAAAAATTAAATTAAATATATTTAAAATTAAATTTTATTTTCTAAAAAATTGGGTGGAATTAATTAAATAATATTAAATATATATCCCCGTGATAATTTCTACTGTAGAATTGGTTAATTTGTGTATAGTTTAAACGAAATTTTTAACGTATTGGAATTTTAAAATTAATGTTAGGCTAGTTATAGTGGAATGCTAAAGTCGTGCCTAAAATTTGGAAATTATCGTAAATAGTTGGGGAGCATTTAATTTGAAAAATCGTGCTTTTTTAGTAAAACGCATAGGAATTGCAATGTTTTGTTGGATTTGGTTTTTGGAATAATTTTTGTTAATAAATTTTGTGTTTAGATTGTATTTAACATTAACAATATTTTTTCTATATTATTAATAAATTTTGTATTTAATTTGTCGTTTGATTGTATTTTATTGTTGGGGGGTTGGATTAAATATGTTATTATAAAGAAAAATTTTAATAATTTTTAATATATTAAAATTTTATTTT